GTAATCAAATCAGCGTGCCGTACTTCTGGCCATGGCCCACACACACAGCCGCGAAAAAGGAAAAAAACTCACCATTCCATGTCGCTCCTTCCATGCGCTTCACGTCCCACATGCCCTTTGCCTCTCTCGCCTGCAGATTGCCCACCTCGACGCACTTCCACCCGGCGGCGCGCGCATGTTGCTCATGCGTCGCATCGACGGCCGAGTAGGCATTGAGCGGCGTGTAACCCGTGTTGCAGCCATGCAACTCCTCTCTGCCCAATGCGCGCAGCAGCGCCGCGGGCGGGCGGTATTCGGACGTCGAGAGCCCGAGCGCAGCCAGGGTGGCGCCGCGTTGAATCTTGTGGCTGTCGAGGAGGGAGAGGAGAGAGCGAGGTAGACTAAGTTGCCAGGCTTCGAGCGGCCGCGCATCGGCATCCTTGTAGGCCGAACGCATGTAGAGTGCCTGAGCATCGTCAATGGCCAGCAGCATGGGTGTCTTTGTCTGCGCGGCGAGCGAGAGGAGAAGCAGATGCAGGCCGCCGGCAAGCGCAGAGGGCGACAGCGCCGCGGCGTGGTTGGCGAGATGCGCGGCGAGTTCGCGTGCGGAACTGCGAGGCAGGTCGGTCTCGAGGGGCAGATCTAGCACTGCCACGTCTCCCAGCGCCACCTGACTCGCCAGGTTGGCGGCGACGGACTGCGAGAGCGCGCGTTGGGCATACGTCTGCTGCGAGGCCACGTAGGCAAATGGAGACGTAGAGTTGATCATGCCGATGCCGCGCGGAATATAGAGCACAATCCAGCCCGACTCGAGGGCGTGGGCGACGCACTGCAGCAGCACGTGAGACTTGCCGACGCCGCGCGGACCGACGAGCATGCGCGGCGCAGAGGGGGTACGGCCGGAGCCGGAGAGGGAGTCGAGAGAGGAGAAGAGCGAGAGTGAGAGAGGCCGCAGGATGGTGCGTGGCGTTGGCTGAGAGGCGAACTTTGGGAGGAAGAAGTAGGCAGGCGGGAAGGGGGGCGTCAGCCGATGAGCTCCGCGCGCGATGCCCCCTCTCAAAACCGAGTGAAGCGTGGGAAGATGGGCCCTTGGATCTGGCAAAGCAAAAGGCGTTGCGCAAGAGGCGCGTGGGCGCAAACAGCAAAAGAGCCGTGAAGATGCAGAAGAAGAAGGCAGAGTCTGGGGAGACTGGCTAGAGCTTGTGCCGCCGCCCGCCCTGCCCCGCCCCCCCCTCCCCCCCCCCCGGTCTGTTCTTTCTCATGCCATGCGCGAACGGAGGGAAAGACAGCAGTCAAGGGGGAGCCTAGGCTGGCCCTTCTCTCGCGTCGCCGCCATAGCAAGCCAAACGGCTCCATGCCTCTCTCTCTCTCTCTCTCTCTCCGTCGAGAGCTGCAGTGCACACTTTGTCCTCTTTGCGGCCCGCACGCCTGGGATTCGGCATCACCGTTTTGCTTTGCGTTGCATGTGCCTCCAAAAAAACACTCACCTCCCTACTGATGCCCTTTGGCATCACGCCGGCCGTGTGCAGGTCCCTGACACACTTGCTCCACGCAAACGCCTCGCCCACGCGCTCCTCTGCGCCGGCGTACTGCGCCGGCGTCAGCAGCGGCAGCTTGGGCGGCGCCGGGGCGACGAAGAAGGGGTTGGTGCGCGCCGCGGCGGCATCGAGGCCGCCGCGCCGACCTTTGGCACCGCCGCCGCCGCCGCCGCCGCCGCGAGGCCCAGACGTCGTCTTTTTGATGGCCGTCTTTTTCTTTACTTGGGCTGTGCGGTCGAGGGTCAGTGAGAAGGGGGGGGGGAGGGAAGGAGAGGAGACGCACGCTTGACGCCCTTCTTGGCAGCGGCACTGCGCGAGGCCGAGAGATGCAGAGAGCGCAGCGAGAGGCTAAGCGCGGCGACAGCACTGATGCTGCTGCTGCTGCCGGCGCTGCTGCTGCTGCTGCTGCTGCCGGCGCGCGGGGCAGCGAGGAAGAGCGACATGGGGCGTGGGTGGGGAGAGGGGGGGGCGGTGGAGAGAGAGAGAGTGAGAGGCGCGCGAGATGGCCGACGGAGGACCCAAGCGCGCCGTGACGAGGCGGCATCACGTGGCGCATCAGCAGTTGATTCCCACGCTGCCCCTTGCGATTTCTAGCCGCTCGTCCTCGAGGGCGCTCGCAGCTTTGACGCAGTCGCTCTCGCTGCCCACCGCCGCCATTTCCTCGCCGCCTCCGACGCGCGCTCCGGCCGGGCCGCGCGCCCGGTCGGCGGAGGCCAGCATCAGCCCCACGCCGCCAGCCACAGCGACGGCGATGGGCAGCCAGCGACGAGGAGGCGGCGCGCGCGGCGGCGGCGGCAGTGGACCCGCTTCGTGCGCTGCGCGCCAGCACGGGCGCCGCGAGGGGCGCGTTACAAATAGGCGCCTTTCGCCCCTCTCTCGCCTCTCTTTTCTCCACCCCCACACCTCAACGATTCTCAGCATGATCCTGCCCATCGCCGCTCTTCTCTCTCTGCTGCCCTTCACCCTGGCGCACGGGCCGCAGACGCCGCAAGAAGTGGCCGAGTTCCACGCGCGGCAGTCTGCGGCGTACCACTGTGCGCCGGCGATTGCGCTGTACAACGCGCAGCGCAAGCGCAGCTGGGCGCAAAAGGTGCTCGGCGGCGACCCGACGGCGCACGGCAACCTCTTCGTCGACGGCTACTTCGACGGCGACGACGCTGCGGGCGTGGCGGAGGCGGAGAAGCGCGTGCTGAAGAAGGCAGAGGAGCAGGGAAAGAGCATCATGGCATGCGAGCCCGTCGAGGAGAGCGTGATTCGCAACTCGACCTGCGTGCTTGGTGAGTTTGCTGGAGAGAGAGGGAACACGCCATGTGAGATGTGCAGAAGGCTGATGTAGCGCGTGGCTTCACAACGCAGCGCCCCAGGTGACGCAGGGCCCTTACTACCACACCTCGGGCCACCCGGTGCGGCAGAACATGGCCGAGTATCAACTTGGTCTGCTCTTCGTGCGTCATCCCCCCCCTTCTTCATTTCCCACCACTCACTCGTGCTCTCGACACGCCCAGGCGATGGACGTGGGCGTCATCGATGTCGAGACATGCAAGCCCGTGCCCAACGTGCTTGTGGATCTCTGGCATGCCAACGCCACCGGCTTCTATGCGGGGCACAACCCTTTGCCAGCGCAAGTCGTCGCCACTCCGGCGCAGGACGGCATTCGTAAAGGCCTGCTGCCCGCATTCGAGCGCACCAACAGCGACGAAACGTGGCTGCGCGGCGCGTGGCCGACGGACCAGAATGGCGTCGCAAAGTTCACAAGCATCTTTCCCGGCTACTACACGGGCAGAGCAACGCACGTGCACGTCAAGGTGCACCCCGAATGGAGCATGCTCGAGAATGGCACCTTTACCAGCGGCCGTCTGATTCACACGGGCCAGTTCTTCGTGGATGACAAGCTCAACGAGGAGATTGACAAGGTGAGTTCCTCTCTCTCTCTCTCTCTCTCTCTCGCCCCCCCCCCCCCCCCCCCCCCCCCCCCTCCCCCTCCTGGTCCCTTCTCGCGCGCTATGCGGGGGACACATCTGCTCACTTTTCTTGCGCACCACAGCTCGACCCGTACAACCAAAATCCCATCCGTCACCTGCCGGGCCGCGGCCGCACGCGCAACTGGGTCGACTCGCTGCAGATCTACGACGAGGCACACGCGGGCGGATACATGCCGTGAGTTTGTATATAGAATCTAGCCCAGCCAGAGAGAGAGGCTGGCGCGCGCGCAACACCGAAGAGCGAGGCGAGGGGAGAGGGAGTGGGAACGAAAGGCAAGGACCCCGTGCCCTCGCGCGCTTCGCGGCATTGCGACACTTCGGGCGCCCCGCCAAGGCTCCGCGGAAGCGAGCGGATGGTGAGGGGCAAGATGGGGGACGTGCATAGGGATGGCCCCTCGTCGCGCGCACGGGAAAGGGGTGTGGCAAGGCCCCCCCCCCCCTCCTCCGCGCAGCCTTCCTTTGTGTGGGGGCAAAGGAGGCACTTTCTCGGGGGCACTCCCACAGCGCGCTTGCGGTGGTCTA